ATTGTTTGTCCTATCAGAGAGACAGATCTCAGGCTCGTTTCTCACTAGCATTAAATGCTCCGCCCAGAAATGGCACAAACTCCTTCCATGCACCCTCTTTGGTCAGGACTAGTCACTTGACAAGGAAGTGCAATCCTGCAGGTGCCCAGAAGGTGGAGAGCCAGAAGTCACTGGTGAGCAGTGCAAATGACTACCAGACTCTACAAAGTTGGCATCATGAACTTCATTTCACAGCAACACTTACGAGGTGTGTTCAAGGCCAGATAGCAAATATGGAGTGGGATTTGAGATTTTTTGTTTGTTTGTTTGGCTCAGGGCCCTATTTTTTGTTTTTCTTTCTTTCTTCTTTTTTTTTTTTTTTTTAACTTACTGACGCTAGTTGATACATGACATTAAACTTGGTGGTTAAAAGCCTGGAATCTGGATGGTGTCCAGACCTTCAGCTCTACCACTTACCAGATGTGTGAGCTGGGCGAATAAAAGACCACTTTATACCCATCAAAGAGATAATCAGAGGATGCGAGAGACCAAGGAAGGAGGTGCTTTCTCAAATGGAGTCCTTAGAACCAGACAGGACTTACCGGAGTAGGACTAATGGGGAGAGGGCTACCTTAGGAGGTTGCACAGGAATTGGGGTGGCTCCAGGTGGCAGGGAGGATGCATGTTTATCCCCCATAATTGCTGCCTTCCTGCCTGTCCCAGTGTGAATGTTTGAGCTGTAAGGAACAGAGAAGCCAAGTGGAGATGGTTTAACCACATGCATTAGCTCAGGAAAGGGGATGTCCAGGGCCTTGTGGGTCTGAAGCTAGTCCAGCAACGTGGTGATGTCATCCAGGGCCCAGAATCTTTTAGCTTCTCTGCTCTGTTCTCCACCATGCAAGCCTGTCTTAAGGCCAGCTCCCATGGATAAAGCCTCTGATAGCAACTGAGGTACCGTGTAAATTAGGAGAGTATGCTGGCTTCCTGCAGTGTTTCTCTCTCTCTCTCTCTCTCTCTCTCTCTCTCTCTCTCTCTCTCTCTCTCTCCATTTCGCAGCATGGGGACTGAACCAGGACCTTGCATATGCACTCTACCACTTAGCTACATCTCCAGCCCTTTTAAAATACATTTATTTTGAGATATGGTCTCACTAATTTGCATAGGCTAGCTTTAAACTTGCCATCCTCCTACCCCAGCCTTCCAAGTAGCTGGGAATACAAGCATGTGCCACCACATCTGCCCAGGGCTCTCTCTTAAAGCAGATAAAGTTTCTCTTACCACTGTCTCTAGCAAGCTTCCCCCAAATATCCTGGGCTCTAATGGGCTTTGGTTTATGAGAGGTCAGTGTTCTTGGGTAGAAATACTAGCTGCTTTAAGTAGAAAGGGTAGTGCACTAGAGGATGTCAGGCATCCCACAGAATCATTGGTAGGGCTGGAGGAAAAGAACTTGAGGCTAAGCTTCTAGGAAAAATGCCCCAAACCACACTGCAGGCTTGGCCAGATGAACTAACCACCGCTCCTCCCTTGCTTCCCTGGAGCGCCAGGTGCCAGGAGCCTGCCCTTGCTTCAACCGCTGCTGCTGCCAGCCCAGTGCTGCTTCTCCTTCAGGACCTCCACCCTGCATACACGAAGCTGGCTGCCTTTGCTACCAACAATTATTATTTCTTGCTGATCTATGCCGTCCTTGTCACTAGAATGCGGTCCTCTCTCCCCCATGCTTCGTTGGCTCCTATGCATCCTCCAGAACTCATTTCAATCAGAGTTCTTTCCTACTCTTTCATGCAGCCATTGATGGGGGGATCATTATCTCTCTTTTTTTTTCATCCTATTTATCACATTGTATTTCAACAGCTTTTGGTTCAATTATTTCACTGCTACCTCTCTCCCTCTAGATCGTATATGTGACGAGACCATGAACTCTGATTGCCTCGTTTGTAGCCACTAACACAGTAACTAGCACTTAAGTGCTTAATATGTTTTTATTGAATGAATGAGCATTAAGCAAACCCCATTAGAGGCATTTATAAAATCTCTCTTGGATCAAACGATGTGTTAATACCTTATACCTTTAAACTACACCACACCACATACTATGTAGTATACCTTGAACACTTAGGGGTTTGCAGATTACAATCACCCCAGTTTTTTGTCAGACCATAATATCCCTGTGCATCTTACTATGCCCACGTCTTCCCTATGAGGATCTGTCCCACAGAAAAATTCTGCCATTGACAAGAGCATGTGGCAGGCTTTGGGTCAGGATAGAAACCTGAATCTGGAGTACCAATGCCAGAGGGTGGTGGCAGGATTGTTCCTATACAAACCTTCCCTCTAATCATGATGTCACTGTGGTATTCCTCCCCAACCTTGCCAAAATTCTCTTAAGAACTTTCGTTTTAGGGTCTTTCTTTCTTTCTTTTCTTCTTTTGGAATGACTTCCAGAGTAAGGTCTTTAAAAATATTTGGGCGGCTTTTCCTATATAAGGGGAGCTCTTTATAAAACCCTCTCCCAGGAAACTGGGAAGAGAGAGCCGTGGAGAAGTTGTTTCCTTCCATGATTAGGAGGAAGTGCTAGAGTCACTTGGTTCATTTATCATTGTTTTCAGTGCACTAGAAACTACTTTTATCCTCACATCTGAGCACATCCTCCAACATGATTTGGAGTTTATATTGGAAGATAAGGAGTAAGTAAAATATCACAGAAACTCACCCATGGTCATAATAGCTATAATTTACTGAGTGCCTAACAGCTGTAATTTACTGAGCATATACTTTGCATATATTAACTCAGTTAATCTTCCCAACTATCTATTCATACTCTTATTTTAGATGAGAATCTAAAGCATCATCTGAAGCAAAAGCTACCTTATGGAGAACATACAGTAAGTAGCTCAGACTGGAGTTTTGACTTGAGATGATTTTTAGGCATTCCGTTTCATAAAACTCTACGCTTTTCTGGTAGAGAAGAACCTGTTGGTCACTGAGGCCAAGGTTTGTAGGTTTGGAGCTGGACTGACTCAGATTTATTCCAACTCTGCCTCTAAATCACTGTGTGCCCTTAGGCCAGTCCTCTCACCTTTTAGCTCTTTAGTTTCCTCATCTGTAAAATGGGGGAAATGATAACTTCCATACATGATGGTTCATTTTAGGTTATCAACTTGACTGGACTACCCAGATAGCTGGTAACACATTATTTCTGGGCATGTCTGTGAGGGTGTTTCTAAAAAGACTGCAGTTTGTATCAGTGGCCTTCACCTCAATTGGTTAAAGACCTAGATAAAACAGAAAGGCAGAGGAAAGGTGAGTTTGTTCTCACTTCTAGAGCCAGGACACTGATCTTCTTCTGCCCTTCAACATCAGAACTTCAGATCTCTGATCTTCAGACCTTGGGACTTGCACCTGCAGCCTCCCCAGTTTCTCATGCCTTCATTCTTGAAATGAGAGTTACATTATTAGCTTCCCTGTTTCTCAGATCTTTGTACTGGGACTGAGGTATGTCACAGACATCCTTGGTTCTCTGGCTTGCAGACAGCATATTGTGGGATTTCCCAGCTTCCATAATAAAATCTTTCTTACATATCTATATCTATATCCTATTGGTTCTGTTTCTCTGGGGAACACAGGATTGTCAGACTAAATGAGTTAGTGAGTGGACAGCACTTGGAGCTGTGCTAGGCACCTTGTAGCTGCCCCTTTGATGTGATTTCACCTCCTTACCCAATCTTTCAGCTGGTGGATTGGGTTGTGTTGATATGTAGAAGGGGACCCATATGCTCTGGCTCATATAGCAGAATTATTTCCTGGAGAGTGGACAATCTTGGAGGGTGAGTGGACCTCCATTTGCTAACAGATATAACTATCAGATAAGCTGCCGTGGCCCAGGAAGACCTCAACACAGGGGTAAACTGAACCTTCAAGGCTCATGATTTTACAGAAGCTGATCCAGAAGAAGTAGCCTTCATTGTCCTGTGGAACAGAATCCAACACAGACTCAGGTTCAAATTCTGACTATCCATGAACACTTAGGCTAGTTTCTTCATCTCCAGGACTGGAAAAATATATGCCTTTAATAAATGTTAGCTCCTCTTCTTTAGAAACAATTATTAAGATTTCCTCTGGGAAGAAGTTCCACGTTGTCTTCTCCCTAAAGTCATGTATATTCTATGTCCTGTAGGCCATTCCATCGTACTTTGTATCAGCAAAATGTCACCCAAGGAGACTACAGAATTCAATACAGTCTCATCTTTTTCTGGGTCCTGCCCAAGAAATGGCACAGGGAGGCCTTAGGAAATTCGTGCAATGAAGCTGAAACATATTTATTGATAACAATTTTATTGAGACCAGGGGTATTGTAGCAAATGACCTCCTAGGCGTGTGTCTCTTTTCACCTTGGTGAACATTGGAGGGCCAGGGATGGGTGGGGAGTGAAGACTGGGGCTAAGAGGCAGCACCCTTGGCGCACGCAGGGACAGGGCCTGGGGGCTGTCATGGGGGGCGCTGGTTTGGGCACCGGATTCCAACGTGGGCTCTTGCCACTTCCTAGCTGTGTGACTTGGAGCCCATTGCTTAACCTTGCCACGCCTCCAATGTTTCCTCTGTGAAATGGGGAGGATGGTAATACCCACTTCTTGGGGCAGTTGAAAGGACCCAAGGGGAGTCCTTAAAGTTCTCGGCAGCTACCATTACAACTTTTCACTGTGATCCAAGCCCGGGCTGAGGCTCCCGGGTCCGGGCCCAGGCAGGCGCATGCGCACAAGCACCCGGCCGGCCAGGTGAGACCGAGGCGCCCGCCTTGCACCTGGGTTTTAATCCTTAAGGGTCACGGGGGGTGGGCGGAGTGGATTCAGGGGCGAGGATACAAATAGAAGGTCGGGAGAACGGCTAGTCTGGACCCCCGAGCGCGGTGGGCCGTGTAAAAGGGAGCTGCGCCGAGCTGGTTCCAGATCGGGGTCCGCGCTCGCCGCGGTGAGGGCGGGGGGGGGGTACGGAGAGGAGCGAACTCTCGCGAGATCTCACGGCGGCGGCGGTAGCGGCGGCGGCGGCGGCGGCCCGAGAGGTGAGCGGCGGGCGGTGGCGGCGGCCGTTGGGGGCTGAGGAGGGTGAGAGCGGCAGAGACCAAGGCCCGGGCGAGGGGAGCGGGGCGGGCGGGTGGCCCGCGTCTTCGGAGGCAGCCCAGCACGCCCCGCGGCTGCAGTGGCGCCGCCCGCTCCGCGCCGTCCCGAGACCCGCGCGGGGCGGGGCGGCTGGGGCCGCGGGCCGCCGGGCCAGTCCCCCCGGCCAGTCAGTCCTCGCGTTCGGGTGCGACCCTGGGACCCGCCTCAGTTTCTCAGGGCGGCGGGGTTGGCGCTGCTGGCCATCGCAGCTCCACTTTGCTGTGTGCCAGGCACTTAACTTGTGCGCTTCCACGCTCGGGCTGCACAGAGAGGTGCAGCGCCCTGCCCAAAGTCACACTGCTGGGACGTGGTGGCATGGGGCTTCCAACACCCGCGCGGGCCTGCGCCCCTTCCTTGCCTCGGGTTTTTCTTCTCCCAGCGGTGCTCGCAGCTGGTTCCCCGGGGTCCTGGTGGGGCTGCCGAGGGTGTGTCTGGGACCCACTCTGGAGTTGGATGCAGCATGGTATGTGGGTTGGTTGGGACAGGCTTTTTCCACGCCTTTTGTCCGATTCCCGGAAGGTCTTCCACCCCTAAACTATCGTTTGGCCCTGGGTGTGAGAGGGCAGAGGTGGGCTTAGAGTGACCCGTCTATGCCAGGGGTGGGGTCACTAGCCCAAGGAAAGTGGAATACTGGAGCCCGAGGCTTGCCTCAGGCAAAGGAAAGTTTGATTCCCACTGAAGCACGTGACTCCAGTCTGGAATAGTTGGTTGTCAACCCCTTCTCCTTGGTGTTGAAAGTTTGTGGAGCCCACTTCGCTACTGAGCAGTGAGGTTCCTAAGTAACAGAACCTACCTACACACATAAGTGAAAGTGGTTGTGATACTTTCACTTACATGTACAAGAGAAATAAAGGGAGGACAATATATGACATACGTTGCTTATAATCACTTATAATCAGAACTTTGAGCTGTGGTGGAAGACAGCATGCGTTCCAAATGCTTGCACCTGCTGCTAATGAAGAAGTTTGAGTTGGTTAAAAAAAAAAAAAAAGTATTAGGATCCAGTTCAAACAAGAAGATCAAAGAGGGAGATGAAGATGGAAACTAGGGAGAAAACACTTAGTGTGGGGACAACCTTATTTATGCTAATAAAAAGGAGAGGCTAGATTGAACTAGGGATGACATGACAAGGTCAATTACAGGCTACCTCAGTCTACCCACAGATCTTACTGTGACCCTTCCATGGATCCCTTCTTTTCCCACCATGTCAGAGCACATGTTTTGTGTCTTGTGCTTTGAGTTCCTGCTACTTGAATTCCTTCAGTTGCTAGTAATAACAAGTAAAATATTAACAAGATTGAAATTTTTGGATTCATTAGGGTGAGATGTATGTGCCATCTCATACTGTTAGCATATTTACTAGTCTATACTCATTATTATAATTTAAATTTATGTTAATTTGTAGTGTGAATAAATGAGCATTAATTTTCAGACCATTTCCTTATTCTCCTGAAGCATCCCTTACTACTTTGTTTTACATAATCAGAGGCAAGGGGTGGGGGTGTGGTTTCCTATAAAAACTTTTAAGTATTGTATGTTAAAGTAATGCTCATTTAAAGTGGGCTTGATTAAGCCATTTTAAGATCAAAATTCTTGTGACCAGGATAAATCTTGATGATACAGATCCATCCCACCCAAGCATTGTGTGAGGCCTAGATCCTGGCCCCCAAACACTAAATGCCTAGGGTGTCCCCCAATCTCTCTGATAACTAAAAATTTTCCTTGAGGACAGTTCTGCCTCTTTGAGAATACTATTAAGAACAGTATCCATTGTCTACTCAATTTTAACAGGAAAGGGGTGACAAACAACTTTTTTATGGGAAAATTATTCTTAAGTGTCTGACATATAAAAAAAAAAAAAAACATGGTCTTGGTACTTGTCAATTATTCTAGAATCTTGGGAGGTAAGGTTAATTCCTGTCAGAAAATTTTGTCTGTGTTTAATGGGAATTCACATTAGAAATGTTGACAACTAAACACTAGAATCATTTTAGCAGTTTGATGTGAGAACAGAGTTGGGAAGTGACAACAGTGTGTGCGATAGCAGGTCTGAGTTGAGTAGAATATACATTCATGTCATCACTTTGGGGGGTGGGTTACTTACTAGGGATTGAACCCAGAGGTGCTTTACCACTGAGCTCCAGCCCTTTTCCCCCTTCTTGAAACGGGATCTTCTGAAGCTGTTGAAGCAGTCTCAAACTTGGGATCCTCCTGCATCACCCTCCCAAATTGTTGGGATTATAAGCAAGCAGCACCCTGCCCAGCTGTAATCACTTTTAAAATAACCTTTTCTAATTACTTATTAGCAAATTTGGAAAATATAGACAGATATACATATACCAGTCCTCATGGTATGACTCATTACAAATTATCTTTTCATTTGAAACACTGCTAGTTATGATAGAGAAAAATTAAAATAAAGTTTAGCTCCAACTAGCTACAGTGTAACAAAAATTTCTCCAACTTGTTTAACTCTAAAAAGGATGTTTATTTTGTTTTTTAAAAAAATCTTGTAAGGTGTTTGTTGCTTATTACTATTGAAAGGTGCTGTGAAAACAAACATGCAAATAAAGACTTCTCAGAGGATATATTTTCAATTGTCTAGCGATATATTGAATCTTTTTGACTTGAGAAGTCAATCAAATTGAAAATAATTAATTTTTATTATTTTGAGCAAGTAAAATGTTCCAGAGTAAAAGAGGTCAGTACTGTTAAAGATATTGTTAGGAATCATTTTTTTTTTTTTTTTTTTTCATATTCACGTGTTCCTAAGTAAACTAAATAAATAATGAATTACCAAGATGTTGAAAATGTTCCAGTTTCTAAGCATAGAGGATATGTTGTCAAACAGACAAAACATGCATGCCTTATGGAGTTTTACGTTTGAGAGACATAAGAATTAACTAGAATGAAAACAAATAATTTACCACACAATTCTGTGGTTTATAATTAAGGCATTTCATTGATTTTTTTTTTTTTTTTTTTTACGATGCACATCTGAGATGGATGGAATCTTAAAATTGGCATGTTGTAATCTCATGGCAATTTTTCTTCTGAGTGGTACATAGAATAAGAATGTTCTAAGTGTCTTAAAGGTGATGGCATCTCAGAGGCAATGAAATAGGAAATATATGTCAGCACATTGTTAATTTTAGCACCAAAAACTATTCAAAGGTGATTTATAGAAATGTGTATCTTCTTTTTGCAAGTCACCTTTGAATAGTTTTTGGTGCTAAAAACTATCCTTTTGTGGGGGTCAGGAGTGGGGTGGGATGGTGAGTACCAGGATTGAACTCGGGGCACTCGGCCACTGAGCCACATCCCCAGCCCTAGTTTGTATTTTATTTAGAGACAGGGTCTCACTGAGTTGCTTAGCGCCTCATTGTTGCTGGCTTTGAATTTGAGATCCTCTTGTCTCAGCCTCCAGAGCTGCTGGGATTACAGGCATGTGCCACCATGTTCGACTTCTGAATCCTTCTGTCTAAACTAGAATTCTTTATTCAGCAGATTTCTATAGAGATCTTTCTCCTCATGTAAAACAAATGGAAGATCAGTGTTCATAAACATGAGCACCATTTTTTTGAAAAGGGTTTGAGGGAAACAAACTTCTTGGTATTTTTTCATGGAGAGCACATGGTGGGCAGTTAATGCATTTGAGGTTAAGTTCAGACAACACAAGCAGAATTTATGAAATATGTATTTTTGTTTCTTTGTCCTATTTCTGAAAGTTTATAGGTCCACTTATACTTTTTTCTAAGTGAGACATCCTTCAGTTGAATTTCAATGATTCATAGTTGTTATTGTTTTTTTAAGAATGTATTTGAAAACATTTATTCTCTGTGTACACAGTTTATGTGGGAAACTAGCTCCATGATATCTCTTGGCTAGGAAGCCTGTGTAAGGACTTTTTCTGTCTGATACTGAGGGCAGGTTTCTTAGTAAACTCAACCATATGAAGGTTACGTACCTTTTTCCCCCAGGAGGACTTCAGCTTTGCTTATCCAAGTGTGGTCCTAGGCCAGCAGCATATTTGAAGCATCCTGGAGCTTGTTTGAAATGCAGACTGGTAGTGTATGTGAACTGTGGGAAGCATCAGACAAGATATGTGACTCTCAGACTTGAGGGTATTACCAGGATTGCTGGACTAGTACAAAGTTTCTGATTCAGTAGTCTGGGTGGGAGCCTGAGAATTTTAATTTTAACAAGTTATCACATGATGCTGATGCTGCTGGTACAGGGACCATACTTGGAGAACCATTATCCTAGAGTGTCCTCATTGTACGTTTCTCTCCTCTTTCCTAATTTCTTACTCATTCAAATAGCTTCTTAAAAATTGATTATCATATCCTTTAACTTGATTGAAGGGGGAAAAAGCATATTTTTTGCGATGACCACACCAAGATTGCTTTTCAGCATCTAATTTCAGAGCAAAAAAAATCTCTTTAAAGCTTGGTTTTAAGTTTTATTTATAGGTGTCTCTTTCTCTTCTTCCTGTAAGTATTCTTTTAATGTTTAAAAATTCTTTTAATATAGATAACATGTTCTTATGGTTCAAAAGTTAAAATGACACAGGCATGCTTGGGAACATCTGATTTCCAACTGCTTTGGCTCCCCCTTCACCCCCCTTTCTTAGATAACCCCCTTTAATTTATTTCCTATAGATGTCCATTGTTTGCTTTTATAGTAGGAGAAATGCCAGTGTACTATATTCTTTTTATATAAAATGGAGCATATTATGTAACCAATTCTGTCCCATGGCTTTTTCTTTATATGCTCTTGAGATCTTTTCCTATTAGTATTTATTTAGAAAGAATATAATATTTGTTTATAGAAAACACTTTTTAAAAAACAGCTATATTTAAACAGTGTCTATTAAGTGCCTTATTTACTTAACCAGCCCCCCTGGTGGGTATTTCGGTTGTCTCTAGGTTTATCACTGACCATTTTATACATGTGCAGGTACATCTGTGGGATACATTCCTAGAAGTGGGATCACTGCGCCAGTGGGCAGTGCATTTATAATTTTTAAAATACTTCCCTTAAGTGTTGCACTGTTTTGAACTCCCACAAGTACAGTTGCTTCTCATTATCCATGGAGGATTGGTTTGAGGACCCCTTTGTGGATACTGAAATTCAAGGATGCTTGAGTCTCTTATATAAAAGGCATAGTATTTGCATATAACCTGTGCATATCCTCCACATACTTTAAATCATCTTTAGATTGCTTATAAGACCTAACACAATGTAAATGCCATGTAAATAGTTGTTACACTGTATTGTTTAGGGACTAATGACAAGAAGAAAAGTTGCTATGTTTTCAGTACGACAATTTTTTAAAAAATATTTTCAGCCTATGATTGTTGAATCCAGTCTGAATACCACAGATACAAGAGGGCAGATTGCAGTGTATGAGAGAGTTCCTGTTTTTCTGGGGCCTTTCCAATGTACTGTGTTTACAATCCTTGAATTTGTAACAGTTTGATAGATGAGAATTATCAAATAGAGGAGTTTTAATGTACATTGCTATCATTATTAATAAGGCTGAGCATCTTATGCTTAAAAACTAGTTGTATTTCTTTTTCTGTGAACTCTCTGTTCATGTCTTTTGCACATTTTTGTTTTGGATTGCTTTTTTCCCCTTATCAATTTCTAGAAATTTATAAATTGGAGAAATTAGCCCTGTGTGATATAAATTGTAGTTTTCCCCAGATTGTCACTTATTTTTCATTTACCTTCACATATTTTGATATTCAGAAGTCTTACATTTTTTTCTTTGAATTTTACAGTTTATATTACTCATTATGGTATCTGGATTTTAAGTCACAGAAAGGCCTCCTAGATTTTTAGAATATGCCCATGGTTTCTTTTAGTACTTTTATGTTCAAACTAGGAATTATTCTGGCGTTCAGAATGATGCGTAGGTTCAACTTTATCTTTTTCTGTGGGCTTGTTATTTTTACCTGTTGGTTTTAGAGCCCTTCTTTGAATACTCTTAATGTAATGTTATCTTTTGGATGTATTGGGGTGTCTCGGGAGTTTGAATTCTATAAGTCTTTTTCTTCGTATATCAGTATCACATTATTGGTTTTATAAAAAGTTTTAATATCTTTTAAAACTAGTTTCCCCTTGTTGCGTTTCATATTCCTGGCAATTCTTGCTTGTTTATTTTTCCATGAGTACTTTAGAACTGTTTTGTCTAGTTCCAGAAAAACAAAAACCTAAAAGAAATAAAAATAAAAATCAGATTAAATGTATACCTTTAAAATCTATTTAACTTCTCCAAACTTCAGTTTCCTAATCTGTGAGAAGAACAATACTGTCTTTATAAGAATGTTGGGAAAATTAAAGGAGAAAACGTGTGGAACTCATCACTGTCTCTTCCACCACCACCATGTGCCAAGGGGGTGGTTCTTTTTCCTGCTTGTACTTCTCTCACTTTTAAAGAGAGAAAGAAAGACAATAAAAAGATATTGGAGTTGAAGTTAAAGCTAAAACTTTCTGTTTGAAGGTAATCGGTACATTTCAGAATAGGAAACAGTCTTGCCCTCAAAGCCCTCCTGCTTATTCCTCTCTTGGGTGCACCCTAATAACAGTGCTACTCAGCATTCCCCAAAGGCCCCATGTGCCTGTGATGCCATCCTTTCCATCCAGAGTCTTCCACACCTAATTCTGCCACTTAAGATATGTTCTACCCCCAGCCCAGTGAAAACCAGTATCTGTCACTTCCAGCAGCTTTCCTGTGTTGTGGTGTGAGCCTTGGTAGATGGGATGCTCCTTGAGAGAAACTGGCTCTGTCCTGTATAGTAAAGAATGCCAGAACCCAGTAGAATACCTGACAAAGTTCACATTGAGATGTTTGTTAAACAAGTGAATGAAGAATTCACTTTGAACTTTCGCCTTACGTGTCTGGGTAGCTCATCTCACCCATTACACATTAGCCTCTAGAATACAAAGACTATGCTGCTTTTCAATAATAGTAATAATAAATATAATAAATATATTTATTATATAAATATATTATGGAGGTGGTGAGTGACAGATTTTTTAATTACATGAGAGGCTATAACAGTAAAAAAAATTGAATGTTTGTTTTTAAGGGCTATTTTAGAGCCTCTGATGTGGATTATCCCTCATATTCCTTAGCAATCTTCCTGGTTGGGCATTGTTATTATACATACGAGGAACAGGCCCAAAGAGGGGGGCTGACATGACTTGCCCTCGGTCACACACAGGCAGGTAGGAGAGGTGGGGTCCAGGTGCAGGTGCTCAGCCTGCCACGGTGCCCCAGACATGTGTACTGAATGCAATCATTTATGTAGGTTAGATTTGTAGTAGTGCTCAACTTTACTTCCCAATTGTCCCGTTCTGTTAACTTCTGTTTTGTTCTGATTGATCTCAGATGTTCACATCCTCCATGAGGCTTTCTAAGTGTTTGATAGAAAATAATCTTTACTTTACTTTGCCTTTTTTTTTCTTTTTTTCAGGTTCATAATCAAGGTGCTAAGAAAGAATGTAAGACAGGACAATAACTAAATATTTTTACTGTGGTAAGTGTTTTATGATTTTACATTTTAAAAATTCTTTATTATTTTTTTAGTCTGCTTCCTTAAGATGTAAAAGGGATATTGTTTTAGAAGTGTTTGAGTTCATAGAACCTATGAGTGGTAAGGTGGATGCCAGTAATGTGGGCTGTTAGGGAAAGACAAACATCATTATTCAATCTCTTTGAATCTAATATTTTAATTTCTATTATCTCATCATTTTAAAGTGTGGTTCTGAGAAGGAGATTCTGTATTACATTTACTTGCAATATTCAATGAATTCTTTCCTCTTAAAGAGGAAGTTGAAAATATTTGAAGTAATTTTGGTGATATAGAGGCACTTCTTTTTTTTTTTTTTTTTAAGAGAGAATTTTAATATTTTTTTTTTTTTTGTTTTCGGCGGACACAACATCTTTGTTTGTATGTGGTGCTGAGGATCCAACTCGGGCCACACGCGTGCCAGGCGAGCGCGCTACAGCTTGAGCCACATCCCCAGCCCAAAAAATTCTTTATTATTTTTTTTGTCTGCTTCTTTAAGATGTAAAAGGGATATTGTTTTAGGAGTGTTTGAGTTCATAGAACCTATGAGTGGTAAGGTGGATGCCAGTAATGTGGGCTGTTAGGGAAAGACAAACGTCATTATTTAATCTCTTTGCATCTAATATTTTAATTTCTGTCATCTCATCATTTTAAAGTGTGGTACTGAGGAGATTCTGTATTACATCTACTTGCAACATTCAATGAATTCTTTCCTCTTAAAGAGGAAGTTGAAAATATTTGAAGTAATTTTGGTGATATAGAGGCACTTCTTTATCTTAAAAGTTTGTTGTGATTTTTTTATTATAATAATTAGAAAAATTTCCACCCATATAAAACAACATAATGACAAAACTAAGCCCTCAACTCCTGCACAAAGAAATGGTCACCATTAACACACTTTTGGAAACTTATTGATGGATATGAAAGTATAAATAGTACTTTAAATAAACAGCAGTCTCTCTACATATATGAAGCTATGTGGTCATTTTTAATGTATGTTTTATATATCTCTGTGAGTTGAAACTGATGTGCGTAATCATGGGTGATCATTTTTCTTGCTGTCTAGTTTTATTTTCTCTTTTTTTTCTTTATTTTATTCTTATTTTTAAATACACAATGACAGTGGAATGCATTACAATCCTTATTACACATATAGAGCACAATTTTTTTGTTTTCTTTTATTTATTTATTTATTTATTTATTTATTTTTAGTTGTCAATAGATCTTTATTTATATATGTGGTGCTGAGAATCAAACCCTGTTCTTCACACGTGCTATACCACTGAGCTATAACACCAGCCCTGGCTGCCTAGTTTTCCATCATTTAGAGGCATCATACTTTATCTAGCCACTCCTTTGATAACCATTTAGATTGTTACTTGTTTTTCTTTCTTGTGAATAATGGTATGTTGATGATAGTATACTCATTCATTTATCTTCTTAGAGGTATAACTGCCAGGTCAAAGATTATATACATTTTAAATATTGATAAATATGACTAAACTGTTATCTGTAAAAACTATCCCCCTCAGTGTCCATGAGAGTCCTATTTTCAAAACCCTTGCTCACACCAAGTTTTGTTAATCTTTGCTAATCCAATAGGAAAAAAAAAAGTGTACCTTTTTGAGATAACATGTTTTTTATTGGTACTGGGGATTGAACCCAGGGGCACTTCACCAGTAAATTAGATCCCAGCACCTTTTATTTATTTATTTTTATTTTGAGACAGGACCTCGATAAGTTGCTGAGGCTGTCCTTGAACTTGTGATCCTCCTGCCTCAGTCTCTTGAGTTGCTGGGATTACAGGTGTGTTCCACTGTACCCCACTATTGAAGGAAACCTTGTGTTATTCAAAGACTTCTTTCATTCAGTATTCTTATTAACACAAAGAATTCTCTTCATTAAGAACATACTTGTGATTCTTATGTGTGAGATATTCTTAGGCATTAAATGTAATGAAAATATTTTAGGTCTTTTGCCTTGATTTTAACTCATTATTAATATTTGAAAACTTGATCAACCAGCTATAATTGTTTTGAATACAGAATGTTTTCCTCTGCAAAGAGCAGTGCTTTTGTGTTTTATTCACCTGGAGGGAGGCCTAAAGAAACTTTCAAAATAAATTTCTTAACATTTTTCAAACATGGATACCAATTGCTGAATAGCATACAGAATATGATTTCCATAATTGGGTGATAATATAGTGTTTTGGTTTTTTTTGAGAGAGAGAATTTTTTAATATTTTATTTTTTAGTTTTCGGCGGACACAACATCTTTGTTTGTATGTGGTGCTGAGGATCAAACCCGGGCTGCACGCATGCCAGGCGAGAGCGCTACCGCTTGAGCCACATCCCCAGCCCCAATATAGTGTTTTTGAGTTATGTAAACTATGTGATTGTGTGTTCATGTGTAAACCTATATGTATCTTTTCTGTCCAAAAGATTTTATCACTTCCTGATGTAAATATGATTTTTAATTTTATGTTTGCTTTAGATTTTATTTCAAATAAAGAGTTACATATAAGGATGGTCTCACAAGAAGCAGATGCACAACTTTGTCATTGACCTACTGTTTATTTTTTGGCTTAATAAAAAAACATTAAACTGTTTTCTATATATAAGGTACATCTGGATTGCCTTTCCTGAGGATCCTTTCTTTTTACTTCAATTAACACTGTTTACTGAATACCCCAAGGCTGGGACCATATGGTCCAACTGGTATTTTTATTCACCAGTTTTCATTCAGCACTGAATACCTACCTACCTACCTACCTACCTACCTGGTAGGCATCCACAGACACCCAAATTATTATTTATTTGTTTAATTTTTTGGTACTGGGGATTGAATCTAGGGGCACTTAACCACTGAAACACATCCCCAGCCCTTTTTTTTTTTTCTTTTTTTTTTTTTTTGAGACAGGGTCTTGCTGAGTTGCTTAGGGCCTCACTAAGTTCCTGAAGCTGGCTTTGAACTTAGGATCCTCCTGCCTCAGCCTCAACCTCCCAATGGTTGATGTGTATTGTCATTATTAGGTTAAAGATGCAAAAGAGAATAGCTGTACATTTTAATTTAGAGAAGACTAACATGTGGTTTCATTTAAATTTAGATGTTCATAGCTATATGGCACTTGCTGCCATAATATTCGATGGTGCTTTGTTTCAAATTTTGATTTGGACTATATTCTGTTTAATTTTTAGAATCACATAAGCCCTGTATTTTAAACCTTTTTTTTTCCTTCATTAAGGTCAGAGTAAGTATCTAAACTAGGTATGCTGCTAGATATTGTTTAAGATCTGTTTATGTTCCCCAGTATAGACATGGCAATATTTTTCACAATAAGGATAAAGTAAATGCCCCCCCCATAAAGTAAATATAATTGTATAGTTCACATTTTTAAAAATAAAAGCAGAGAATTAGATTGCCAGACTTTGAGTAGAATGAATAAGTTTTTGTCTGGGACCTGCCTGTGAAGCTTTTCTGATTCCTATACCAGTTTTTTACAGCCAAAGTAAACAGAGAGGTGGAACAATTCATGATCTAATAGATTTAAGCAGTGTTTCAGTCTCTATTTTAAATACTTTAGAATCCTGTAGTCCAATAGAAATAAAGAATGCATGTAACTAGTTTTAATTAGTATTTTTGCAGAAGTCATTTGCATGTGAAACTTTAAAAATCAATTAAATAATCCTCTAGCAATATTTATTTGCACTTTAATCTGCCTAGCAATTGTTTCTTTTTTTTAATATTTATTTTTTAGTTGTAGTTGGACACAATACCTTTATTTTATTGATTTATATGTGGTGCTGAGGATTGAACCCAGGCCCCTTCATGTGCCAGGCAAGTGCTCTACCACTGAGCCACAACACCAGCCCCTAGCAAGTGTTTTTTAATACATAGTCTGAAATTAAATCAAGGCAGACTTGAAATTACTGAGTCTTCATTATTGGGCCAAATTAATGAGGTTTTCTTGGACTTTTCCTTCTGGTATCTTATTGTGGCTAATGATATAATCTTATTTGTTTTCTAAAATATTGAAGTTCTGGGTTTTTTAATCTCTTTTCTGTGGCAGTATAGGAATTTGTTTATACAGTGCCTTTCATTTTACTGATGAGTTAATTTATTTAATTGTGTGCCCTAAAACCTACTAAAAGTATTCCTGGAAAGTGAGGGATTAAACAGAAGTTGTAATTAAAATGAAGGCTTTATCCTTTATGTCTCCTGTGAGCTTCATTGGTTAGAGTTTTAGAAAGGGGAGGGAAGAACAGGTTTGGGGCCCAAGGTCCATAATGAGTTCAGAGCTTAGTGAAACTCCTTAGGGATATCCCAAAGTTCTGAATGTCCCATCCCCCTGAGAAATTTCCTCTCTCCTAACCCTGAAAGTTTTGTCCAGTGTGTGGCATGATGCAAATTTGTGTGGAGCTAGGCAGAGCGAGTCTATTACTACAGAGTCTAGATGCTGTCTATTTTTAAATAGACATCCAGCATAGGAATATGGCTGAAAACCACTATCCCCCTCCCCACACCTTATCTATAACAGTGCAATTGGAATTTCACACAAGCTTTTCCTTCTTTGGTTTGTTTAGAGAGGACACTGTAGGTGCAGGTTGTGTTTGTGTATGTTAAACCCCATGTGTTTTGTTTTAGATATATTTCAGTCTGTTCTAATGTAACAAAGTTTTTCAGTCTGAACATTCTAGCAGCCATCACTCAAACATTAATTGCTGTCAGTGGAAAAGGATATCTTCCCACATCTTTTCTCAGTGCTTGAAACCACCCGACTTCCTTTTTCTTTTACCTTAAGAACCGATTACTGACACTTGGGAATTATAATCAGATTGCATCAATCTTTATGGAAAGGTTACCAATTATTGCACTGCAAAATATGCATTTCTTTCTAATAGAGAGTGTTTCTCTCCATGTCTCTTTTTCTCTCTCTCAGTTCAGTGCTATTAAATACCTCTTAGGTG